TAACATGGGCTAGAAATAATCTATTTTGCTCATCCCTATCTGCAGATTCCCTTTGCTGTTTTGGCAGTAGGGCTGAGCTACCATCACTCTACTAGGTGACATTTAAAAATTAATAGTAGGCTCAACAACTGGTCTGACATTCAATAGGTGCTGTATTCAACCACTGGCGGAGGAAGGTGGGTGCAGGGGTGCAGTGCCACCCCGCCCCGCTCGCTGTGAGGGCAGCACCCCTGGACACTCACTGCACGGGCGGCAGGCCACTAGGGATGATGCTGCCATGGGCAGCTAGCAGCGCCCCCTGATGCTCACTGTGTGGACGGCAGGTGGCTAGGGAAGCTCACAGTGCAGGCAGCTAGCCCCGCCCCCGCACCACTCTGGGTGCCAGGGCAGGTAGCTCCGCCCCTGTATTCAACACCCACCTGCCAGACCTGCACTGCCTCATTGTACTCCAATGTTACCTACACCCAATGCACAAATATTAGAGAAACACTAACCACTGCCACATACAACCTTGATCTGAATTGCAGCCATGCAGTTTCCATGACACATCTGAGCAGTTCCCATTCCTTCCACTAGATGGAATTGCCTTTTTGCACATTGTGATTATTGCTGTAAGGAGTCCGAGTGCATATGTATGTGCAAAACCCAACCAGTTTTGCCCCGAAGAAAGTCCACCCGGGTGCAGCCTTTTGTCTTTTTCAGAGAGGTGCCTGCTTTTTTACCAGGAGGTTTTCACCAGCTAGCCTAGCCGAGACTCCTCCCTGCTTGACGCCAGGCAAAACAAAATATTGTTTTCTGTTCAGGTTTAACTTGTGTCAACGTCTCATTTGAGTAACGTGCATGTCAAGCAAAAGCGAGAGACTCACCAACGGAATACCCTGATGATAAAGATGCATTTCAAACAAATTCTTGGGTGCTCGCCACGGCCTCCCCCAGCTTCCATTAGAATTCCCTTTGGCAGGCAAAGAACAAAAGGCTCCGTTCAGTTTATACAGGAGCTGCCTTTCCTAATCACTTGCAATTGCATCTCATCGGCAAGATGAAAGTGACATGCTTGGAGTAATGTAAGCATCCCCCATCACACAACTGCCAAGCGGCAGAGCGGGCAGAACCTTCATTTCCAGTGACAGATGGGTAAAAGACAAAGTATGATTGGAGATTTTTACCTAACAAGACAACAGGAGCAAGCAATAAAACTATCTGGAAATCCAGTGCAAAGGTCCTATAAACAGAATTGGTGGTGGTTTGGGGGAATCATGTGCAATAATGAGACAGACACACACCAAGGCTTACATTGCTTACATATCCTTTATAAGGTATGGGAGCCCGAATGGCTTTCAAGTACTGTGTGATTTTGTAAGGGTTTCGTGTGTTAGGGCTGTGCACAGGGAATTGTATTTGTACCGCAGCGTGCAAGCATTAGCAACCTGTCTCATTTCTCTCCCGCTCCTGCTTGATTTTACTAATTACTTAGGATGTGCAAGCAGAAACCTGCTTGCTCTGAAAATGAATTGTGGTAACTGAACACTGAAACACCGTGAGAGTTTCGATGCTGATTGGGCCGCTCACTGAGTGCCAATGCCCAACCACCCATGGGGTGGATGAGTGGGGTTGTAGTCCAACAACATCTGGAGAGCCACAGGTTTCTCATCCCTGACTGAGTTTCCCTTTGGATAAGAGTGAGAACTGAGCCACGTGATGCTATGAGAATCAGTGGGGAACCAGCGCACAGGCTGCGATGCTGGACTACAGGGGTTGAGAACCTCAGAACAACAGACCTGGTATTTCTGATTCACAAAATGATAGCTTTCTGATGAGATTTGAGATGACAGAAATTGATTTAGGGCTGAACCAAAACTACTCACAATTTTATGGTAAATATTTTTGGTGCCACCTTCTCTCAAAAAAAAAGAGCCCCTCTTTCCCAATAACTTCCCCAACATCCTCGTTTTCTTACTCATTTACATTGGCCTTATTTGCTTTCACTGGCCATCAGTGAATTGTTATTTAGGATCGTGACACATTCCTGTTCATTGTGTGGCTTGATGATGCATGTGACTGATCAAGGAAGGTCTCCTCTCTCAGTTGTCTTCAGCGACATTGTGATGCAGCCCAGTGTCCCCCAGTCCAGTGACTGGGGTGGCTCCTCCTCGTGTAAGGGAATTAAAGTGGTGAGATGAGAATTAAACACACATGTTGAGCTGCAAACCATGTTCTGATTTCATTGATAAGTTGTGGCCCTGGTTTATTCAACATTCTTGCATCTTATGATTTGGTTTTCAATTGATTTATCTGTTTGCATTTTGTATATAAAGTGACTAGCAAATACTATTGTTATTAACAGCAGCAGCAGCAACAACAACATTAATTATTCCAGGGTGCATTCACAAGTGTGTATTTGCAGAATTGTTTTGTTTTGTTTATGTCTTTTCTCCTTCCCTGTCCTTGAAATGGCTGTTCTTGACTCAAAAATCAAAATCAGAATATTTGAGCATGGCCCCAATTCCATGGTAATAGCCATAATTTGGCCATTGCAAAAGCCAGTGCTGTTGAGGAAAATTGGTTCTCTGGCTCCAGCTTTGGAAAGGAGATCTGGAGGCAGAAGCCTGGATAATGGGCAGTGGTACCATGTTTTGAAAAGCCTCTTTTGTAGCAGGGAGACTCTGAGCACCACCGCTGACAGGACATGCACAATCAACTGCCTGAGAGGCTTCTTGCTTGAGGAAGCTAATAAGCCATAGTCCAAAAAAGCAACCTTTCATTGACAAACCATTCAGCCTCCTAAGTGTTCTCTCAATAGTGCTGTTCCTCACCTTTGTTTTTGTTCGTGTCATTTAATAGCCTTGATTTGGTGTTCCTTTGGCTCAAGGGGAACTTTTTGCTTATAAAGCTCCTCCCCTCCTTCTCTTCTTCTTTCAAGTTTTCATTAGAAAATGGAAAGAGATACCGAATTAACAGAGAAACAAATGGGAAAGGAGAAGAAGCTCTTTCTCTGTTGACAACAGTCACCCCATTAGATCCCTTTTAGCAGGACAAATAAGCCACTCAGCTGCACAAGTGGGCTTTTATATTTATCCCAAATTAGAAACAAAATAATTGCCGCCTCGTCTTTAATGGACGCACCAGTTAATTGTTCTAATAGCTCAATGACTCCAGCAAAGGGAGGGGGAGTGTGCATGTATGCAAATGTGTGCACCTCTGTTGCCACTTCACCAGTTGTGCCGTTCAGACCAAGGCACATTATGCAAACGCAGCTTGAACTCCCCCTTTCTATCATATGCTCCGTGGCACAGGGCTGCCGTTCCAGATCAATTATTAATACGCACGCGTTATAATTATTTGGAGGGTTGGTACAAGATAATTATAAACCATAAAGCAGCTTTCATCTGCATGTATAAGTGCCTGCACCCCCCTCACCCCCCTCCAGATCTGAATCATACATAATAAGCTAGGAACAGGGTGGGGTTCAAGGAGAAACGTATTAAAAAAAATCTGATCTATTCTGTGATGTTAAGAAAATATTAACTAGCCTGTTACTCATTGATGGGACATGGCGGAGGCATGCAAAAGTATACACAATGTGGAGAAAGTGAGAGAGAAAAGATTTTTCTCTGTGTCACGTAACACTAGTGTTTGGGGACATTCAGTGAAGCTGAATGGTGGACGATTCGGGACAGACAGAGTGCACAGTCAAATTATGGAAACCACTAAAAGAAGATGTGGTGGTGTAGTGATGGCCACCATCTTACATTGGCTTTTAAAGAAAGACAAAGTGGTGGAGGACACAATACAGATGGCAGAGGAACACCTGGTACTGGGGATAACAGCTTCATTGATTCACAGGAAATGAAAGTGGTGCTACAGAAACCTGTAAACCTGAAGCAAGAAACAGACACTGAGATCCAGCAACAAGGGCCTTCTGGCAGTTCCCTCCCTGTGAGAAGTGAAGGTACAGGGGAATCAGGCAGAGGGCCTTCTTGGTAGTGGCACCCACCCTGTGGAAAGCCCTCCCATCAGATGACAAGGAGATGAGTAACTGTATAACCTTTAGAAGACATCTGAAGGCAGTCCTGTATAGGGAAGCTTTTGAATGTGTAATGTTTTATTGTTTTATATATGTTGGAAGCCACAGATTGGCTGGGACAATCCAGTCAGATGGGTGGGGTACAAATAACAGAATTTATTATTATTATTATTAATTACGAGAAGGAAGAAGCTGGAGGGAATGACTCGTGGTTTCAGTTGTCTCTATACTAATGCATAGTGTATGGGAAACAAGCAAGATAAAGTTGAACTCTTTATGCAGGGTGACAAACATGACCTAATAGGCATTACTGAAACCTGGTGAGATGAGACTCAAGAATGGAATGTAGAAATTGAGGGGTATAACCTGTTCAAAGGGAATAGATCAAACAGGAAGGTATAAGGGGTAGCATTATATGTTAGTAATACCATACTGAAGTCCTTGAAACTGTGCTATGATTCAGGAAACTGGCCGTCAAAACCATAGGCATGCTTCATCCTGGAAGTTATCCTTTGTAAGTTATCCTTACAAAAAACCAGAAACACAAATAAAAACTGTAGGATGTGCTTTACCATTTGCTGTATTCTTGGTTTAGATGAGATGAACTTTATATATAGCAATGACAAATTCTACATGTGTATAACACAATCTAACCAGCTTGATATTTTGGTGTTTACAATGAGCTGTGCATTCATTTTTGTGTAGACATTATAGAAACAGTGTGGTGAATCATTAACACTGCCCCATGTCTGTGTTGCTTATGGAAGTCATTGTGGATGTGTTCGTTTTTGCACATTGTCCCACACTACAGCACAGCAAGGCAACCAGGGTATAAGACAAGTTGAGATTCAGGTTGGACATAAGGCAAGGCAGAACACAAGGCTGGGTGGACAACAGATCTCTGAAGCTGCTGCGTCAAAGGGCAAGCTAAAACTGAGCCCTTCCATAGTAGAAGCAGCATGTGCAAGTATGAATGGCATGGGTAGCTCAGTTGGTAGAGCATGCAATTATTCTTAATCTCAGAAGCATGGGTTCAAGCCACATGTTGGACAAGAGATTTCTGCGTTGCAGGGGGTTGGACTGGATGACCCCAATGGTCCCTTCCAACTCTACAGTTCTATGAGTCTAGAAATGTGCACATTGAGATAAATACTAATAAGTATGTACAGTGCATACTGTACAGTATGTACAGGGGGGAAAGGTGTCGGTAATGCATACCCCTGAGTACTTCCAGAAAAAAGCACTGAGTATGTCTTTTTTTTGACAAAATATGCATTTATGTACCGTATTTTTTGCTCTATTAAGACTCACTTTTTCCCTCTTAAAAAGTAAGGGGAAATGTGTGTGCGTCTTATGGAGCGAATGCAGGCTGCGCAGCTATCCCTGAAGCCAGAACAGCAAGAGGGATTGCTGCTTTCGCTGCGCAGCGATCCCTCTTGCTGTTCTGGCTTCTGGGATTCAGAATATTCTTTTTCTTGTTTTCCTCCTCCAAAAACTAGGTGCGTCTTATGGTCTGGTGCGTCTTATAGAGCGAAAAATACGGTACATATTTGAAAATAAAATGTGTTCCTTTTCTTTGTAATTATCACAATCATCACCATAATCAGAGATTAATTTGGGAACGGGACAGCATGGATTTATGAATGAGTGCCTGTGAAACTGATCAACCCATCCTTAGCCACACTGAGGAGCAAGCCTCAGTCTCATGTTCCTTTGAATTACTCCTTACTCATGTCTCTCATGTCTAAAATAATCCACTCACTTTTCATGGTGGACAGATTAAGCAAGTGGGGTCGGTTTGGTAGGCATTACTTGTGTACATTCCTGTTTAGATTAAAGGTTATAGAGATGGAAAGGTATGTGTGGATGTTCTATGTGCATAACGCATACACTCAGACAATGCAAAAGAATGCGCGAAAGATAATGACAACCAGTTATGCATCTTACACCCACATATCATCTACATGGAACTACTATGAATAAATATTCCCTCTGACTTACAATGTCTATTTCTGATGTTTTTAAGCATAAATGCACACCTGTAGAATATATTAGCAAAGTAGGCGAATGAGAAACGAATAATAATTAAGAAGGGAATAGTGGCTCGCCTGTGCTCTTGGTCTTTTGCATATAGGAAAGAGGACCTGAGTACCAACTATCAGCCACCGGCTTGCTGAACAGGTGGCAGAGGAGTAGGCTGACACCTCCTTGTGCTTAATAGTGCTTGTTAGTCATTTTATGAGTCACTGCCAAAAAAATGCTATAATTGCTGCACTGCCGATTGCTAACCAGTCGCTACAGATCTGGCAAGAAGTCAGATGCAGGAGAGTGTGAGTAGAATAGGAAGTGAGACCTCATCTGACTGCAGTGCTTGCACAGAAGTAAAGAACATGCCAGAGTCCTAGGGCTGTGGGAGAAGGATATGGTTGGGCTGATAGGCAGCTGCTTGATGGCTGGACTTACGGTTGACAGGTATAGTGGCATCCTAAGCCAACATGAAACAGCAATGCCTTCTCATTATTTGATGATTTCCATCGCATCACATTGCTCCATAGAGCAGCTATGGAGTGATGTGTCTAATCTATTTCAGACTTATTCATCTAAAAGTTTTGCTAAATTAAAAATTGCTCTTAACTTTAAGCTCTGCCAAGAAACCACCAAGCTGTTCTTAAGTCAGGAAGGTCAGCGCCGACTCCTAGGGATGTGTGATTTTGCCCTCCCTATGGCAGTGTTTCCAAGTGCAATCCTTCCTGGAGATTGGGGAGAAATTTGACTCTATTTGCATTTAAAGGCAAACCTACATAATTTGCACATTATGCAAACTGAACATTATCCAAAGTTTGCAATGCAGTCTTCCAGCCAAGGAACGTGTACACAATAAACATACTAGAGTAAAACATGCATATAAATGCATATATTAGTGCAAACGCAAACCACCTTGTGCTCTTCAGATGAAAGGTGGTATAGAAATAATAATAATAGCATGCAAAATGTGCAATATTAACTGCTTTGCAAAAACACGCAAACCGCCCTGTGATCTTCAGATGAAGGGTGGTGTAGAGATACAATAATAAGATACAAAATGTGCAGTATTAACTGCTTTGCAAAAACACTCATTGTAGGCAAAGTTGTATACTGAAATAGGTATATTAGGAAAAATTAGCAAGTTTGAAGTTAACATGAACTGCTTCATGCAGTTGGTTTAATGCCTATCCCAGACCAGTATGACTTCTTCTGACTCGCCTGCTTTAACACATCTGCCAAGCCTTTGAAAATCCCTGTTTTTATCACCAGGTAGCAAACGTAAGAGGTTGATGCAACCCCTTGTGAGCCACCATACTGGTGGGCCATAGTTTGGCTTGGTAGGCCACTGAATGTGGCCTTAGACTTTATCCTCAGGTAAAGTCATATTTGCATATTTGCCCATGGAGAAGTTTTGACTTTATCAGGATCGTTCTCCAGCTGGAGAAATGGCACGTTCCTAGTGATTATGTATTTGTTTCTGAATGTTAACAAACAGTCTGCAGTGTCTGATTGAGTGGGTTATTAGTAGAATGAAGACAGATGGTGGAGGATTAAGTATAACGCTTCTTTACATCAAGGCTATCATTACCCAACAGCTCCATCGCACTTCTGTTCAGACTACAACTGTCACCAGTTTAATTTCCTCCTTGTATCTAGTACCCCTGAGCTACCTTGTGATCCAGACACAAAGAAATAATGTCAATCTTTAATCGGGCCACAAGGAAAATCAGAAAAGCAACTCCTTTACTGGAACAATGCACCATACTGGAACAATGCGCCATACATCCACATTACCCAGCAATCCCCCATTAATCATATGGCAACAACCACAACATTTTTGAAATTAAAAGAGCAATATAAATGCTATGAAAGGAGTATGAAGTCTCACTAATATTATACCACTCAATATATTGTTATAGAACTGTGGGTGCTAAATCCGTGGGTGCTAAATGCTTGGGTTTAATAAATGTTAGGATTTAATCAGAACTGGTACATTAGCCAGACTCATGTGTATTTAAGATGTGGGGTAGCCACTGTTAATCCCCTGGAATCAGCCTATGTGGAGAGTTAATTTACCTAGGCACACTACCTGGGCTGTGTATTGGATATTGTAATCTTAGCCAAATCAACAAGTGTTAATGAGGTCACACAGACTTGTTTGTGAGGTGACTGCCCAAAGGGATCAGCAATTAGGGAGTTCAGAGCATCAAAGGATTAGGTGTTAACACAGGATCAAATTACATAAGCATGAGAATGCAAATGCAAGGCCTCTCCCTGAGGTAGAGAAGGAAAGCTAAGAAGTTATGGTGGTAGGGTTGGGAGTGATGTAACCAGGAAGCAGAGAAAGCAATTATTAAACTGGATTGTGCCCTGCAGCACAAGTTAGGCTGCCAAGAAAGGATGATGCTTGGGCTTATTGCTGCTGCTGCTATAGAATAAGCTGGTGCATTTTTGGGGTGCTGCTGCTGTGAGCCCCTTCCTAAGCAGGCTCAGGTTGATGTGTAAATAAACCATTTATCATAAAGACACTCTAGCCTCTGTGGTGCCTAATTTTCCAAAGGAAACACAAACCCTGGCTGAGCACCTGGAACCCCTGGGTTCTTGTCACACCTTGGAACTTAGGAAGAGCTTGGACAGAATATGCAGACGATTTCCCTTCTAAGTGGTAAGAGCAAGCAGGAAAGGGTGATATGCAGGTGAAAGATTGCCCTTAGCTTGATTTGATGTTGCTATAATTTAATGCACAGTTGGGCATGTCTACTTTTTTACATGTCTGAGCTGCTCCAGGAAAGTGCTAGCAGTGAAACAAAAGTGGGTAACCTCTGAGTCAGGGGCAAAAATTCTACCCATTTCCCTGGGGTTTCTTGCATAGGAGGTTCTATTTACATCGTTACCAAGAACGAGCTCATGCCCCCATTTATTAAAAAGCAAATTTAGTTGTAATTTAACAAAATGAAAAGAGTTTCTTGACCCTTGTACTAAAGAAACCAACTCACGGGTGTATTTTGTCTCTTACTATTAGGGTTGCCAAATTTCAATAAGTGAATATCTGGACACAAAAGTTGTTGAGTATTTGAGCTTCACTATTTCTTTTTTTCTTTCATTTGAAATTTGCCAAAATGTACACGCCTGACATGGGCTGCTGTACGCCCATATTTTCCCGGACATTTCAGCGATTTCTGTCCAAATGCTGTTTACGAGAGCCGAATACAGGCAATGTCCAGTAAATTCTGGGCGTATGGCAACAAATCACTGGTGATTACAGAAATCACCAGGAAGCTGATTGATTTTTTTTTTTTTTGAGACTTTGTCAGCAAATTTGAAACGGAGACTGATACTAACTAATGATAGACCTTCAGTATTACATTTTAAAGGCAATGCTATGAATTTGTGGGTCTTTGTAAACAAAGAGCAAACGCTTTAGAATAGGCACAGGAATTTAAAGTTCACCAGCTTCTTATTGTGCTATTCCTTTACAAGCAGGTGTTTTGAATGTTGACGGAGGCTTTATGTGAAGCCTGAATAACATTTGGGAAAAATACACAGTGCTAATGGAAAATCTCCTCAGGGAGAACACATTTGGCATGACTCACGATGGCCTCACAAACAAAATGGCTGCCATTCTTCTGAAGAAATGCAATCTATAATGATAGAAGAAGGCATGGGATATGTTTGATATGTGTAGGTCAGCACTAAAAAAAAATTAAAATCCTGGGAAATGCCCCAAACTGTCTGGAAGGGTTGGTGTAGTCTGCATGCGGTCTCAGGAGGTATCCATGATTAAGGCTTCACTTCCAGGTTTTGCTGTAGGAAAATAAATTCTTAATTAAATAGGCACTAGCCTCAGCATGTTCTCCTCCTTGAGCTTGCTGTTCCAAAATCCTGCTGCTTTGTCTGAAGTGGGCCAGACAGAGACCACATCCATGCTACACATTCAGAGTGGTTTAGTGGCCAATCCCTCTTCACAGGGAATTGAGAATTGAAGCTCTGGGAGGGGAATAGAGGCCTCCTAACTAAGTTAAACAAACTATAGACTTCTTTGGAGGAAACCAAAATGCGTTATAGAAATTGCGACACCAGAGGGCGATGTAGAGCAGTAATCTGTCACCAATGGGAAATTGCAGTGGGAGTCCCTCCCCCCCCCCCCCCGCTTTTTTACAGGATCTTTCAGGTCAGTGTAGATCCAGCCCATGACTGTTTAAAGTGGTATCATAGTGTTTTAAATGTGTGGTGGGAATGTGGCTACTGAAAAAACTGTCAATAACTGCTGAAACTTCTTTCTCTCCCTCCACCTTGTGTACTGATCATTGGATGAGTTTTCTGCGTGCCTAATAATACACATACCTCAGATTGTTACCAAGGATGAATTAGCATATATGATCATTGCTGTTGAATGTGTGAAATTGCGCATCACTGTTATAGTTATGTTCCCAAATGTGATTATATATATATGCTATGTCTCTGGAGAGCCTTCTAGCTTGAATCCAGCATTGTCTGTAATCTAATTAGCATATTGTCTGCTCCAACTTGCTTCCTCTATTTTATTTCCCCCCCCTCCAAGCCCAAGTAACTCGGTTTCAAGGAACTGATTAGCCCCAATCATCCAAGGCATTTCGTCAGCTGTTCGTTGGGCCTTTCCAAGTTATTCCTTTCATGCAGCAAACACACAGTTGTTACTTGTTCATTGTGAAAGAACGGGACTTCTTCCCTTAAGTAATAATTTCTGTTGTGGGAACCTCTTTGTTGTCATTCCTTCCAACACTCAAATCACAACATCATATTGCTGGGAAATGCAATCCCCACCCCCCACAACTAGTGCAGCTGTTTCTATAAGCAAAGTACAAACTGCCCCTGGTTTAATTCAAAAATGTCTTGATAATTACAAACACCTTGGACACAAAAATGAAATAAAATTATTTTATTGCACAATAAGTTCTAAATTGATTCACAAGTTTCTTTGTACTATATTTTAAATCTGAGTCCTCAGCGTAAATTGCTATTCAGACAGTAATTCTGAGCAAACACCACCAAAGCAGACTTTTTAATGGCACAGGGTAGAGAACTGTAGAGAAAGCTTAGAAACCTTCAGAGTATTAGGAAGTGTGGGATGTATTATTACTAGAGCAGTCAAGTACAATATTTTCCTGTTGCCTAGAATGGACACACAGGACAATGTGGCTCCAGACAGGGAGGACTTCCTGTCATACCTGCTCTGGAGCTTCCTCCCCCTGTGTGCGACAAGGTAGATGGGCGTGACCCTAGCCCTGGCCCCACAACCATCTCTCTCTTGGACTTTCACTCTCACTCTCCTGGTTCTTAGCCAGCGCATGGCTCAAGCTTCACATAGGACGGAGCCCACAAGCAGAAAGTCTGAGATGTAGCCCAGACTTCTTTTCACTGTAACCGCAAGCTAAAGCCTGCCTTCAGATTGCTGCTGTGAACTGAATGTGAGTAAAACCTTATTCTTACTTTTATAGAAGACTGTGTTGAGTTATTATTAAGAGGAAAATAAAAGGGGAAACTTATCAGGAATAATCCAGACTGGACAAGTCAGACTGGATTGCTTAATTAAAGGATTCTAACGAATCATCAACTTACTTCCAATAAGTTGCAAAGGGGACGCGGGTGGCGCTGTGGGTAAAACCTCAGCGCCTAGGACTTGCCGATCGCATGGTCGGCGGTTCAAATCCCCGCTGCAGGGTGCGCTCCCGTCGTTCGGTCCCAGCATCTGCCAACCTAGCAGTTCGAAAGCACCTCTGGGTGCAAGTAGATAAATAGGGACCGCTTACCAGCGGGAAGGTAAACGGCGTTCCGTGTGCTGCGCTGGCTCGCCAGATGCAGCTTGTCACGCTGGCCACGTGACCTGGAAGTGTCTGCGGACAGCGCTGGCCCCCGGCCTATAGAGTGAGATGAGCGCACAACCCTAGAGTCTGGCAAGACTGGCCCGTACGGGTGGGGGTACCTTTACCTTTACCTAACGAATCATCAACTTACTTCCAGTAAGTTGCAAAGGGAACATGCTCTGCTGTTTACTCACTAGCGCGGGTGAGGAGAGATAATATCAAAACAATATATCCTCTCCCACCTTCCTTAACATTCCCACAGGAAGGTATAGAGAACTTGTGTTTTCCATCCTGATTCGATCGAGCACTACACCCAACCCAGGCAGACATTGGCTTTTGTGAAAGCTTTCTTGTTCATTCCTTGTTAGCCATCTCCCTAGCCTATATTTTCTTGGCCCTTTCATGAGGCAGAAAGTAAAATAAAAGAACTCTCCTTCCAGAATTTGCTAAATGCAAATTAAATCAAAACTCTCTCTCTTTCTCTGCATATATGCGAAGCCTCATGAACGGCTAAAGAACACAACGAAATACAGTTATATTTGCGTTGCATTCCAATATTACAACTTTTAAGTTAGGCAAATTTGTATTCTGAACCAAGTAATTACAATGTTTCATACCTATTCCTCTTGTGATTACATTGTGAAATGTTGAGTATAGTATCATAAGCTCTTACTGGGTAAGGGTTGTAGAACTATTGATAAGCTACTATTCTTCTCCCTTGCTACAGGCTGAAGGGTCAGAAAACCTTGCCAGCCCAGATGTTGTTGGGCTCCAACTTCTCTTAGTCCCTGCCAACATAGCCAATGGCAATGACAGCTGTAGTCTAACAACATCTGGAGGACCATGGGTTCCCTACACTTGCCACAACTGCTTTGTTTTATAAACTCTAACTACATAATTTTATAAGGTTTCCAGAGCGCCATGCATGTGTTTCTCCCTCTTGCCCTATTTCTTCCTCAGAACAACAACCCTCTTTCTTAGGTTTGGCCAGCCTTTCTTAGCCTTGGGTCCCCAGATGTTCTTTAACTACAATTCCAATCATCCCTGACCAGTGGGTCATGCTGGCTAGGAATGATGGGAGTTGTGGTCCAACAAGCTCTAGGCACCCAAGGTTGAGAAACGCTGGGGTAGGCTGTGAGACAGTGACTTGCCAAAAGTCACCCAATGAGCGTTGTGGCTTGAGCCAGGATCTGGCAGATCAAAGATAATATCATTGTTGAAGAGAAGGAAAGATGGATGCCCTTAGCATGAAGGGACTTTTCATAAACTACCTAGAGGGAGGGGATCACATAGATTCAACCATTTCCCCTGGTTTGTTCCTGACCCTTCTGTGGAACCAGCAACTTGGAATGTAATTATAGTCAGCAGAAAGGAAGACGTACTATCAACTTCTGTGGTCAAGGATAAGCAATTTGAAGATCATCTCTGCCTGTTTCCACTTTTGACACCAATCACATTAAATATGGCAGTGTTAGAGACTCCATCTGTTGCATCAAAACAGCAAGTGTCAAAGCTATAGGCTGCTGAGATGCTAACTGAGTTTACTTGCAAGTGTTTTTAATGGTTTAATGATTTCTGTTCACAATTACACACATCTATTGAAACAGTTAATCAATGGTTGCTTATAAGATGCTTGGCTGGTAGAGGGAATTAACAGTAATATACGTTTGCATTTTGTAGGAAAGAGCTCACGTGGGCCCCATGGAACCATCAACATCCCTGAGAGGGCTGCTTGCTTGGGCAGCTTTAAAGCCATGATGTAATGTTGCTTCTCTGTTCCAGAGCTACAGCTAAGCACAGATTTTGCAAGCTGAAGCCTCCATCTGCATTTAGAAAAGGCTTTTGACAGATATTTTCTGCAATAAAGCTGAAGAACCCTCAGGTACCGAGTGAAATTACCATCCTAGCTTCCAAGTTCCAGCCAGCAGCTATAACCCAAAGGCCTTAATCTTCCAACCAAATATAAGACTTGAGATATACATAATAGGAACACCACCAACAGTTGCTCACTAACTCTTTGACCACAGGGAGAGGTGGGTGAGCAAGGAAGCAGCAATGGCGAGGTGGAGCAGCAGCAGCAGCAGAAGGCCACAGTTCCATCTGGGCAACCTCATGAGGCCTGCATGTGGGGCCAAATGCAAAAGAAGTGGAGAAACCAGAAGTCTAGTTTCTACACACACTCACATATCTTCCATCTAGGCAAGCCAGAGGCGTTACCAGAGTTCAATGACACATTTCAGACAGGCAAAAACACTCAGAGGGTATGAAGCAGGGTTGGTGAGAGCTGTGGTCTGGGAAGAGTCCTAAGAATCATGTAGAGAGGCCCCGAGGGTGACATTTGGCCCCAGACCTAAGGCTTTCCACTGCTGATCTAAGTGCAGTGGCTCATAAGAGCGTAAGAAAAGCCCTGCTGGATCAGGATCTACAAAGGAAGCAGGAAGTGTTGGGACAGGAAGTCTATGGGAGGGTACTCTCTCTCACAGGACCAGCCCACCCATGAGGCAAGGTGAGGCGACAGCCTCAGGCAGCAGAATCCACAGGGGTAGCAGATCCCAATGTTGGGCTTTCTTCCCTGCTTGTTCCTGATCTTCCTTCGTGGTGGGGAGGAGTGGCACCATTTTGCGGTGCGCCTCTGGTGCCAAAATGTCTTGGGTTGGCCCTGCTCCCTTACTGCAGTTTACTCAGAACAGACTTGCATGAGCACACCCAGAATTGAGTAAAGAACTTGCCTCTACTGTTCAAATGTGACCTAAGTTAACAAAACAGATGGAAGTGGGTTGAGGGCATGGGGAGGAGAGTGGGCAGAGCAAGTGAAAATAACAGAGGCAAAGACATTGCACTAACCTTCAGTCATTCGCCGGTACTTATCCTTGAACATGAACCCAAAGACCAGACAGCATCCTCTCTTTGGGAGACCAAGTTCTGCAAAAGACAGCAAAGTAGATGGTGATCAGCAAAACTGTTGACTAAAAACGGGAGGCATTTGCAAAAAACAAAACAAAAAGAAGAAAGTCTGGATCGGAGTAGAGAGCATTTTAAAAGACCCTGGTTGGAAGAAAGCTATTCAAATAAAGTTTTGATTTCTTACACATAGGTTATAGAGTAGCCTTACTAGGTGCCAAGGTTTCCCTCTACCAACAGGGGAAGGAGATGTGCTTTTCTGCTGTGGAGGCCCCTGCACAGCTGCACCTGCTGAAAGGCACTCACTAAAGTGCCAGCAGCTGTGGTCATAAGGCCCTGAAGCAGGGAGTTAACAGCAGTGGTGCAGGAGCAGCACCAGTAACAGATCCAAAGGCATTCCACTATTATTGTTTCACCAATAATTTTCCTATAAGATCAGACCCTATTATTTCTGACGTCTTGCTTTTACCTGTTCCTGTTTTTATGTGCTTATTTACTTATTTATTTATTCTGGCTTACTGATTTTATTATACTGCTTTATTGTTTGTTTTCTATATCTCTTGCAGTTTTTTTTATTAAAACAAACAAACAAACAAACCATTAAGTGGTTTAGAAGTGCTTCCCAATAAAACAAACAAACAGACAATAGTTTCTGTTTCATTAGCTGCCACCTATATTGAAAGCATGGGATATATATTCAATATCCATATCTGTCTTGTCTATCTATAAACACATGTATGCAGAGAGTATGTAAATATATAAACAAAAATTCCATGGGCACTATTCAATCAGATGTGACCAAAATCACTATAATTCAGGCACCAATTCATTTCAGTGCTATCATTCTATGCCTACCGTATTGCTGCTTCCCTATCCTTGGTATATTCAAAGATATATCTGGGCTGTGATGCAAACACCAATCACAGGAACTGGGTGACTGTACTAAATCCCAGCACCAACTCTTCCATTCCTCCCACCTGAATTGCGTATGGATTTTTAATGAACAAATCCAGCCCCCCCCCCCCAGTGCCCAGCTAACTTCCACTCCCCAGTGGAAACTCCTTCCCTGAGTGTTTGCTTCAGACGCTCTGTTTATGTTCAGGAGGAGGCTCAATAAATCTCTGCTCTTCAACACATGCAAGTAATGAGAGCTCTCTAATCCCGTTCACTTAGCAGACCGTGTGATAAAATAGAACATGGGACCTTGAAGGAGAGATAAATCTGTCTTCAGGCTCCATGCCCTTTCAAAGCAAAACAGCTGGCCTGTAAAGTGGCTGAACGCCAAGGCCTGAGGAAGTACATGTCTTTGATCTCTTGCTTTCTTACAGGAGCTGCCTGGCTATCAGCAAAAAGGCAGAGAAATGGATCTAAGCATGGGTTTTTCCCAAAAAAGGGAGACAGCCGTCTGTGTGTGTTTTCCACCTTCACCATGCATCTGAATGTGTATATATATCTTGCGGTGCGTAAAAACACCTTGCAGATTCTTCAAACAAAACCACCTCATGGCACAGCAGAAAGAATTAAGGCAGCACGCTCTGCCTTGCCTGTGGCCCAGACATATACGACTGGGTCTTTCTCATTTTGTGCGGCCTTGCTGATCAAAGTTCTTTTGATGTTTGTTTAGTGTGCCTGTGGTCCTTTTTTATATCTACTACTTCATTTGCAAACAGAGAATTACTGGGTCTCAGGGCAAGCAGGAATCGATGCCAATAACAGGGCCCAAAGCAACCTTTCCACTACAAATTTCAGATGGAGAGAGAACGAGCTGTAGTTAAGGGCATGAGAAAGACATGTGCTCATGGAAGAAACTTTTCTTTCTAGCCCATGTGAGATGAATGGGAACTTCTGGCCTTACAGGTGTTGTTGGATTCATACTCCTATCAGTCCCAGTCTGAATAGCCAATAGTCAGGGATGATGAGAGTTGGAGTCCAATGACTTCTAGGGGGCCATACGTTTGCCATCGCCGCAGAATGGAGGAGCAGAGGGGGGAAATTGCAGCAACTGAAATATGATGAATGTCATTTTCCAAAATCTAACACAGGTAACTCTGGTATCTCAAATGGTTCCCAAAGGCATAAGACTGGTGACCAAAGAAAATCTGGTTGAAGGATCTTCTATCATGTGGTTGACCTCCCCCAATACTTGCTGTCATATCACCATTCCAAATCAGTGAGAATCAGTGATCAAGCCAATTATAAACAGTGTTTGAAACAGGTCTGTGTTTCACAAAACACTATTTTTTTAAATGGTGAGGATGCTGCCACAGCCAAGCCAACATGAAGGCAGTATTATTTGTCAATGCTGCCTCCAAAATTTGCAACATAAAAAGTGATTTACTGTGAAAGGTGGTCACTTTTAGTGATACAATTTTCTTGGAGAGATGAGCACAGGTCATAGTGGGCCATATGGGAGCCACTGAGGCTAAAACAGGAATGTGGGATGTGTGGCCCTGCAGATGTTGTTTGGCTCTGACTCCAGTTGTGACTGACTAGCATTGGCACTGCTGGCTGGGGTTGATGGGAGATGGAGCTGACCAGCATCTGGGAGACTACAGGTTCCCAATCCCAGTTAGGCTGGCCTCAACTAGAGCCAGGGCTTTTTCGGCTGTGGCTCCGATCTGGTGGAACACTCTGTCACAAGAGACCAGGGCCCTGCGGGACTTGACATCTTTCCGCAGGGCCTGCAAGACAGAGCTGTTCCACCAGGCCTTTGGCCAGGGCACAGCCTGACTCCCTCCCTCGGCAATCTTCGCGGAGCTCTGGCCCAATGGTTGCCAGTGGCTTGAATTAATTAATTTTATAACGAATGATTTTAGACTGTTGTTTATGCTGTACTTTTGTACTGTTTTATTGTTGTTGGCCGCCCTGAGCCCGGCTTCGGCTGGGGAGGGCGGGATATAAATAAAATTTATTATTTATTATTATTATTATGGCATCTAACAATCCTAGTTCCCGTATCCTGAATAGCCTCACCATTTAGATAGCAGGCTCCTATTGTAAATTTGTTTCATGAAAAGTTCATGAAACATCTTTACATAGGCCAAAAGCCATTTTCAGTCCTGTTGTGTTCAGCATAAGGAAACCGCCATAAAATGGACCTTTGGGACTGCCATTTGTACACGGCTGCCCCCAGGTTCAGAATTAATCATTTTTTCTCCCTTTTAAACAAGTCCAAGCAGGCAGAGGCCCATCAATAAGGCTGCAGTAGCTTCCTCATTTCAGGATCACTTGTCTTATCTGTATAAAACTGGAGAAGTAAACAAGCTGTTATTCATGCCTTTGCTGATATGAAACCAAAGGTATCATTGATCCTTATCAAGCCTCTAATGAACTGCCAAGGTATCAAAATGTAATTAAAAGCACCAAATTAACTAAACTTATCAGCCACAATAAACAGTGGCTTCAACAACAGAGCCAAACAAATCAGCTTCCCTTCCCGCTTTCCACCTTTCCTGCTAATTGTGAAATGTAATTACATAATTACCCATCTCTTTTGCATGGATGGGGTCCTATTTATTGCTGTTGATTGATGCGGCTAGTGGATGAATCTAGAACGAGGGCCCATCAATAAAGGCATATGTAAAGTGAAAACCTCTGCAATGATAGCCCAAAGGTCTAAGCCATAGAAACAGATTCTACTTATTGGAGGGCCAACCCTACTGTTAAGCAGAATGGGGCAGCTGCTTCAGGTGGCAGGGAGAAAACAAAGTATTCCATGCAGCCTACCTTACACCCCTAAGCTAGTCTGTTACCCTCAGATGCAGTGGGATATATTTTATTTATTGACATCAAATCATACATAATATCTATACAGTGTACAGCGGTGGCAGCGGGAGGCCCCATTAGCTAAAGTGGTACCTCAGGTTAAGAACTATTTCAGGTTAAGAACAGACCTCCAGAATGAATTAAGTTCTTAACCCGAGGTACCACTGTATGCAGAAAAAAATGTAAATAGGCTCTCAGGTTACAAGGCATCACCTCATGAGCAACTGAGCTAGTGCCTAAAAGGCATGGCCAACCCAACTGCACTGGAGGTCTGGAGATCCTCATTAGAATCTAGGGGCCACTAGCCCATTTGCCATTGATGAAGTAAGATGCAACAGACAGTCTAGTAATCCTCTGCACATGGAATGTGGGAAGTCGGCATCTTGCCCTTTGCCTCAGGCAGCAAAAGAATTTGGCTCAGCTTTGATGGTGATTTTTGGTGCCATGAAAGGGCAGCAAATAGCTGGTCATTTAACTATTGCATTTTTGCTGCCTGTGAAAACAAGAAGGGCTTGTAGCATTTTCTGCCTCAAATACAGTAATAACTTGACCAGCCCTAGGCACCTCTGTTAATTTACAAAGCTCTAAACAACTTGGACCCAAAGCAGCGATGCAGCATGGGTTGCTGGCACCCAGGGTGGGGCAGAGCTGAATGCAGACTTGTAGCTAGGAGGACCTGTATCCAGTAATATCAGGTTAGAGGGACAGACAGGAACATTGGGCATTGTGGTCAGAGTAAGCAGCTTCAGGTGAGATTCATGGGAGAAAGCATCACATGTGAGGGGGAGAACATGTAGTACAGGCATAAGCAAACTCGGCCCTCCAGAAGTTTTGGGACTACAACTCCCATCATCCCTAGCTAACAGGACCAGTGGTCAGGGATGATGGGAGTTGTAGTCCCAAAACATCTGGAGGGCCGAGTTTGCCTATGCCTGATGTAGTGTTTGGGCCTCTTTGCCAGATTCCCTACACAGGTTGGCTCAACAATTTTGGGGTCTTCCTATAGAAAGCTCAATGACTTTTGGGGTGTTTTTAATTTTAGAAATGTGGCAAAGAGCTGAGGTATTGGCTTCCCATCCTTTAGATCTGCTACTGCATTGCACCTGATCCCTCTGGAGGCTCCAGCCATAAAGGCAAAAGTCCACATTGTAACATTCAAGTTTCAATGGATCAAAGCATAATTCTGGATTTGAGGTCTTATTTCAAGTTTGCTCTCAAGGGGACCTTCTTTTACACTTGTAAAAAATACGTTGCTACCCTCATGATGAGACGGAACAATGCAAGCACGCACAGCATTATGATAATTCATGCTGCAAATACATTAAGAGTTTGCTAAAGCTTTTATAGCTAAAGGCATATTTAAATGCTTAACTGCTCCTTCAAGGTGTCTTGGTGCTGCTGTGCTGAAGGCCTGAATCTCTGAGCCGGGTTCCACCCCCAAGCCCTTTCATATGCAAGGGGAAATCTACAGCTTGGAGAGCAAAGCACACAGCACTTAACAATGCTTTAGCTATAGGGGACCATGGAGAATCAGATGGGTCTTTTTTTAAATAGCCAGACATGTGCATGAGTTTCAAACTTGGAATCATTCCCCAGGTGTGCCAGGCACACTCTAATGTTGTCTGGAGCAGCATCCCAGCTCCCTCAGTTGCCACAAGTCTCCCAAGACAGAGTCACAGTTACTCACAGTGGTTAAGTAAAGGGACCCCTGACTATTAGGTCCAGTCGTGGCCGACTCTGGGGTTGCGGCGCTCATCTCGCTTTATTGGCCGAGGGAGCCAGTGTACAGCTTCCGGGTCATGTGGCCAGCATGACTAAGCCGCTTCTGGCGAACCAGAGCAGCGCACAGAAACACCGTTTACCTTCCTGCCAGAGTGGTACCGATTTAACTACTTGCACTTTGACGTGCTTTCGAATTGCTAGGTTGGCAGGAGCAGGGACCAAGAAACAGGAGCTCACTCTGTCGTGGGGATTCGAACTGCTGACCTTCTGATCGGCAAGTCCTAGGCTCAGTGGTTTAACCCACAGCACCACCCGTGTCCCCCCACAGTGGTTACTCTTCACCTTTAACCAAAAAAAGCTTGCAGCTGTAAGGGCTCAACCCTCCCCACCACAACACACACAACTTAGGAGGAGTGGTGGCGCTGGGCATTTAGAAATCTCCCAGAGATTGGCAGCCAAACAACTGAAGCCGTATTTTTCGCTCCATAAGACGCACCTGACCATAAGATGCACCTTCTCCCGCTGGAGCCTTGGCAACGGGACAGCACCTGCAGCTCAGTCAGCCGGCCTCCAAAGGTGGCGGTAGTGGCAGCGGCGAAACTGAACTCATTGGCTTTCCTGGCAGCTGCACCAACAGCCACCGCCGCTCTTTTCAATGAGCCTCATTCTCCAGCTGCAACATCTATCTCCCTGGGCCATGTTTGCTCAGACATTACTCAGCTCTGGCAGTAGCACCTCTCTCTCTCTCTGTCTCTCTGGCCTGGCATTAAGCCACAGGAAACTCCTGCTGCAACTATATCTGCTCCCTGGGAGAGAGGACGCCGGGGGAGAGGGGTGGAGAGAGGATGAGAGAGAGCTTGTTCAGATCAGGCATTGTTGTTGTTAATTTGTATACTGCCCTCCATCTGAAGATCACAACATAAAAATGCAAAGCAAAAACAGAGCAAAAGTGAAGGTCGCCGCCTCACCTTGCAAACCAAACCCAAAAGTGTTGCCTGCCAGCCTTGCTTGTTCATCCAAGGGATAAAGAGACCTGTT